CAGGTAACAGGCTTTGTGGTCCTTGGGTCTGCCTTCTGAGTGAGAAGAGAGGAATACAAAAGGACCACCGGAAGAATCCGCAGGACTCGGTGGGGTGGGCCTGGGACCATAGAGGGTCTCTCCGCCTCTTCCTAGAGCGGCTAGCAGCTCCGCTAGCAGCCCTCACTTCCGGCGGGCGAGGCGCGAGGCCAGCACCGTGGCGGCCTACTCGGTGAGTGTGCTGGGCCTGCGGGTCGGCCTGGGCTGGTGTCGGGTCGGGCTGCGGCGCTGCACGGAGCCGGGCGGGCGGCCTCGGCCTGGGGTCAGCCTCGGCCTGGGCGCCACCGCTCGCCGCGGAGAAAGACTCCATTGTATGAGTGGGTAGGCTGCACCGGGCCATTGTGAGCGACTTGGAGGGAGCCAGTGGACGCTTTGTTGCTCCTGTAAATGGGTGAGGAGGCAGACGGTTAGACGGGTTCCCGGTACTGGAGCTCCGTCACCCAGCTTTACCGAGCCTCTCCTAGACTGGGGACCTCTGTCACAAAACCGGAGCTGGCGTTAAGGGAGGGGGCGATAGATCCCTCCCTCCCTCCCACCTCCCGTTCGGACAGTGAGAAATCAGGCCCGGAGGCGGCTCCTGGGTTGGGATGGATGTGTTAAAGGAGCTTTGTGCCTGTGTTTACAAACCCACGAACAGAGGCGACAGCATAAAGCTGTATAAAATCCTTAAAAATACGATAGCACACATAGGCTACCTATAAGTATGATTATTTCATCCATAGGTAGATTTCATAATCCATCAGTTTCCAACCAGTTAAAAGTTCCTGGGTGTTTAAAGAGATGTGTTTAAAAGTGTATGACTACCATTATAGCTGTTTATTGAGTGCCAGGTACCCCACACAGCGTCTCCTGTTTAATGCGATTGTACCTAACAGTCTTTATATAAAGGGAAGCAGCTAATGGACAATGAGTGCTCTAGATTTGTGTTGTATGCAGTTTGCTCTTTCTGTTGCTGCAGTTGTAGCAGATAAAATTATTAAACACTCAGGAAAAGTCTTTGGGCACTCTTATGTTTGGAGGGTTATTATACGACAAAATAAAGAAGAAGAAAAAGACAGGAAAATGTCATTTGTGTTTTTATTTACTTACTTTAAATGCTTGTATGCAAGGAAACTTACGCTTTCTAACTAACCTAAGGCACTGAAAGTCCAATAACTGTTTGGCTTGGCAGCCTTTGCAGTCCAATAACACCTCCCACATTGTCACCTATTTGGATTTTGTGTGTGTAAGGGGTTGTTTTGACAGCCTCCAGACAACCTTAAATTTAAACAAATAAAATTAATTTAGAACTTTTGCTTGTGCTTTCCTTCTTGGCATAGTGTAGTCTAGGAAAGAAAGAGTAAAGCATTTCTTCAGATTTTTCTCACCTAGTATTTTCTGAATAAGACTCTCGGGAAACTTTTAATTCTTTTTAGTGATTAGCTTCTATTTTCAACATGGTTATCATCTACAGAAATAGCCAAACAAATAAGAATAAATAAGAATCTAGTCTGTCATTTCTTTTGAATTTGAATATCTTAGCAGCTATTAAATGAGAAGTTTAGCAGTCAGTGTTGACATGAAATGCTGTGTGGCAGAGTTTGAGCGTCTTCTGAAGTTATTTTTCTGTTCCCCTGTTCCTCTTTATCCTGTTTTACTTCTTAGTCCTTCAGAATACGTTCTGAGGCTGCTCCCTGACATGTCTATGCTTTTCCTCATCCTCTCTTTTGCCTGTCCAAACTCAGTAAAATTGCAAATTGATGATGGTATTTATTAAGCTTAACTTCTGAAGTTAGAATTACCTAACAAGCACTTGTCTCTTAAAGGTGCATTCATTTCATTTGTATAGGCGTGCTTTGACCTAATATGGGTGCAGTTTTGATAGATCAAAGAGAAGTTAACATTGAATTAACGGTTGATCTGCATTTTTCTTTTTTTCTTCTACAGAAGAAAATTCTGAGTTGCGTTACTTTAGGATATGAGACCTTAATTCAGAAGTCCAGAAGACAGTAGGATCTCTTGACAGTGCATCTGGCTACTCACTATGAGGTTAGGAAAGCCTAAAGGGGGTATTTCTAGAAACTCAACCCAAGGAAAAACGTATGAGAGCAAGCGCAAGACGGCCCGCCAGCGACAGAAATGGGGCGTGGCCATTCGCTTCGACTCAGGCTTAAGTAGACGGAGAAGGAACGTGGATGAAAAGCCTTACAAATGTACTAAATGTTCTAAGAGTTTCAGTCAGAGCTCCACTCTTTTTCAGCATAAGAAGATCCATACTGGGAAGAAATCCCATAAATGTGCGGATTGTGGGAAAAGTTTCTTTCAGAGTTCTAACCTCATTCAGCATCGTCGGATCCACACCGGGGAGAAGCCCTATAAGTGTGACGAGTGCGGAGAGAGGTTTAAACAGAGCTCCAATCTCATCCAGCACCAGCGGATTCACACTGGGGAGAAGCCCTATTGCTGCGATGAGTGTGGCCGGTGCTTTAGCCAGAGTTCCCACCTCATTCAGCACCAGAGAACACACACCGGAGAGAAGCCCTACCAGTGTGAGGAGTGCGACAAGTGCTTCAGCCAGAGCTCCCATCTGAGGCAGCACATGAAGGTGCACAAAGAAAAGAAGCCACACAAAAGGGGTAAAAATGCCAGGGCCAAAACTCACCCGGTGTCCTGGAAAAGGGGTAAAGGAAGGAAGGCGGTGGCTGGGCTCCGCCAGGTAAAGGGAGCCACTTCTGGCCTGTTTAAAAAGAAAAAGTGAAAGGTAGAGGTGAAAGCCAGTCCTAGGAGGGAGGATGCTTTCCAGAAGAGCACTTAGATACTGGTCCTCCCTAGCGTGGATACCTCAGGAGTTTCCTGACAGTAGGATGAAACTCTGGGTCTAGCTGCCCTCATTTCCTTTAAAAAATAAATAAATTTTGTGACATGGAGCAGACAAAACTGAAAAAAATAGTTTGGTAAGAATTTAATCTCCTTAGCCTCAGTTGAAATTTCTTCCCTATGTTTTGATTAAAAAAATCATGTTTTTGTGATTACTCTTGTTTTTAGGAATTTCTGTATACAAAATCACTAAAGAAAGAAGGAATGAGTTTTCAAGTTCTAGGACTGACTATATTTTATGTTTTTAATGTTTTGTAGTTTATTAACCATTAGTATCAGCGTTGACTCAGTATTTGACATAATAAAATGCATTCAAGTTCATAGATTTTGTCTTTTTTATTAGTGTATATTGTATGAAGTAATGAGTTTCGTTTTCTTTGATGTGTACGATGTATCTGTATGATGTACTTGGATTGTATCCATCCCTGTTATCCTCGCCTCCACCTCCTGGTTCTCTTTTCCTCCCCTGAGAGTTCCCTTCCCACTTAAAATGTTGACCCGAGACTCTGAGTGACAGAAAATGTATTTGGTTATTTTTCTTCATCTGTTTTACTATGCTTACCAGAATGTTCTCCAGGAGTTTGACTTTTTTTTTTTTTTTTTACTAACAATAGTTTATTGTAGTGTTTGAGGCTTTAATGACAACTCATTTTGTTTGTTTCTTTCCTTCTACTATGTTAGTAAAGAGGTGAAAAGTCTTTATATGGCTTTTCTTTTGTTTATGTTTACCACATTCTTAGAGATTTAAAAGAATCCAAAGTGAGAAACTGCAGACCTCCTCCTACCACCACTCCTTGTGGTGCTGATGCTGTTACTGCTCTGCTACTTGCTGTCTTGAAATGGGAGTGGGTTTATGTTGAGTGATGCCAGTGGCCTCTTGGCATTCCTTTGTTCTCTTGAGAACAGCGCCTGCATGAATATGTTACCAAGAAAGCCTCAACTTCTAGCTAAAGAACTACAATGTCATAGACTGAGCTTTGAATACCACTGACTGTCTGAAACAGATGTTTGTCTACAAGTTACTGGCCAGCACACTGTAGCCCTGTTAGAACTTAACAATTTTTACTTTATTGCAGTTGTTTAACAAGACTAACATATCCTTCTTCCAATGCCAAGCATACGTTCCTGATCAACCTTCTGTTCAAGTTTTTGTTTATTGAATGCTAATGTTTTCTGATTTTTATAATATCAGTTCTTCCTGTGTTAATGATAATTATCCCTGAAAATAAAGATTGAGATATTTTCGCATACTACTGTCTGTTTTCCTTTGGGAAATTGTTCAGGTTTTAGGAGACTTGTTCTGCGCTTTGTGATTTTTCTCAGATCTGAACTTTACCTCCCTCCTCCCACCACCACCATCCCCACCGCCCAGATTTTAATGGAGAGCCACAGCATGTGGCCTGTCTGCAATAGGTACATCCAACAGTATCTAAAGTGTCTTAAAAGTATAAGGCTATCGCAGACATCTTTTATGAAAGACTTGATCCTTGACATCCTGCTGTAGCCAGATATCTATGGCAGGGATGCATCCATGGGACCCTAGTGAGAGCATCTGCCAGTCTTAGATTTGTGTCTGAGATAGCTTCTTAGAGAGGAGGGGGACACGATACCAACACCATTTTCTTAAGTTCTGTGAGTTGCCCACAGTAAGGCCTCTCTAGTAGTTTTGATAGCTTGTACTTTTATCTAATAGATCCACCTGTGTTTCTTATTAAAATAGAACAAACTTCAGGTTTTAATGTAGATTGTTTTGTACATATCCTGAAGCTGACAGGCATCAAAGACTGATGTGTGGGAGTCTTCTAATGGTGGCCAGTGTACTTGGTGTTTCTTTTTAGAAACATCAATAAAGCTAAGAGATCACAAGTATATAAAATTAATAACGAAATATACCAATAGAAATTGAATACCAATGTAAGTCTGGTAGGTGTCATCTCTGAGAATACAGATTCATTGTATAAGAATTCTGTTCTTCAAGCCCTGAATTCTGCTGAGTTTCTAGTGTCAGGTGTTTACCAACATAATTCCTGTTATGTTGCAGACATCCTCTTCCCACAGCTAGGCACAGCGGTCCAGGGCTTATTAGGGATGTACTTGATTACCGAGCCAGTCCCCACTCCACCAGACTCCTTGACTTCATGTTTTATTGGGAAAAGGAATGCTCCACAGTTTTTGTTTTGTCTGTGTTTGTGTTTTTAAGTATGCCAAAATGTTTTCTGCCCAGTGAGTAAGGTGTGGGGTTAAGAGTGGCTTGGCCTGAAACAGAGTAGAAGCAGAAGACCAAAGTGTGGGTGCTTCGGTCCTCCTTAGGAGTAACAAAATTCTCATGGGAGCAAATATAGAGACAGTGTGGGACAGAAACTGAAGGAGGGGCTGTCTGGAGACTTCCACCTGGGTATTCATCCCATGTGCAGTCACCAAAGGCAGACACTGTGTGAATGCCAGGAAGTGCATGGTGACAGGAGCCTGATATAGCTGTCTCCTTAGAGGTCTGCTAGAGCCTGACATATACAGAGGCAGATGCTCACAGCTAACCATTGAACTGATCATGGGATTCCCAATGGAGAAGTTACAGAGAAGACTGAAGGAGCTGAAGGGGTTTGCAGCCCCATGGAAAGAGCAACAATACCAACCAACCAGAGCTCCCAGGGTCTAAACCACCAGCCTGGGAGCACGTAGGGAGGGACTCATGGCTCTAGCTATATATGTAGGGGAGGATGGCCTTGTCAGGTGTAGATGGGAGAGGAAACCCTTGGTCCTGTGAAGGCTGGATGCTCCAGTGTGAAGGAATTTGATGGTAGGGGAGGTAGGAGTGGTTTGGTGGGTGGGGGCACATCCTCATAGAAGCAGGAGGAGGGGGGATGGGATGGGGGTTTCTGGGCGGGGGAGGAAATGGAGAAAGGGAATAACATCTGAAATGTAAACAAAATATCCAATAAAAAATAATTTTTAAAAAAAGCAGAGTAAAAATAGGAACGAGGTTTAGAAGGCTGAGGTAGCCGTGCATCGGGGCTGTCTTCACAACAGCTGGAAGAAGTGACACCACTGGTTCCATTCCTATTGGCATTCCCTTGCTTGAGCTTTCCAAGGGGCAGAATTACACACCAGGCCCAGTATTACACATAAGTGCTACCAGGCCCAGCATGACAGCCACTTCAATTTTAACACCATCATCCCATCCACCCCAAACACTTAACTCTGAAGACAGAAGACCAATGATGAATCAGCATATAATGTGAGCTTGATTCTCCCTTTTCACAGGGATGACATCTCCCTTGGTTAGTCTGTCTGGTCACATGTGGGAGGGTAACATGTTAAGGTATTAATATCAAATTCAAGCAGTTAGATGTATGCAGATGTTACAGGGGTGCAGATATGACTGCTAGGTGAACTCTACCTGGAGCCCATTGTGAAATTCAGTTCTATTCTGTTTGGATAGATAGATAGATAGATAGATAGATAGATAGATAGATAGATAGATAGATAGAT